AAGAGCTTTCAAAAGTTGTTGAGTGTTTGAAGAAAGAATTTGAAATGAAAGATCTTGGAAAGACAAAATTTTGTCTTGGCCTTCAGATTGAACATTTGACAAATGAAATATTTATCCATCAATCTACATATACTGATAAGGTTTTGAAGCGATTTTACATGGATAAATCACACCCATTGAGTACCCCGATGGTTGTGAGATCTCTTGATATAAATAAAGATCCATTCCGACCTCAAGAAAAGGATGAAGAGATTCTTGGTGATGAAACACCATATCTCAGTGCTATCGGGGCACTAATGTACCTTGCCAACAATACCCGACCAGATATTTGCTTCGTAGTAAGTTTATTGGCGAGATTCAGCTCATCTCCAACAAGAAGACAGTGGAAAGGTATTAAGCATATATTCAGATATCTTCAAGGAACAATTGATATGGGGTTGTTGTATTCTAATGCATCCAAGTCAGAATTGATCGGTTATGCAGATGCGGGATATTTGTCTGACCCACATAAAGCTAAATCTTAAACAGACTATTTATTCACATATGGAGGTACAACTATATCATGGCGTTCGATAAAGGAAACAATAGTTGCTACTTCTTCAAATCATGCAGAGATCATAGCCATTCATGAAACTAGTCGTGAATGTGTATGGTTAAGATCAATGACTCAACACATTTTGCAATTATGCGGTATTTCTGTGCAAACAAAGATTCCAACAATATTGTATGAAGATAATGTTGCTTGCATAACTCAATTAAAGGGAGGATATATCAAAGGAAACCGAACAAAGCATATTTAACCTAAGTTCTTTTTCACACATGATCTTCAACAAAATGGTGAGATAAATGTTCAACAGATTTGTTCGAGTGATAATCTTGCAGATTTGTTCACTAAGGCATTGTCAACGTCAACATTTGAGAAGCTAAGATATAAGATTGGAATGCGTCGTCTCCTAGATATCAAATAAGTTCTTCATCAGGGGGAGTAAATATGTGTTGTACTCTTTTTCCCTTAGCCAAGGTTTTGTCCCATTGGGTTTTCTGGTAAGGTTTTTAATGAGGCAACACTCAAGGCGTATTACAAGATGTGTGTACTCTTTTTCCTTCACTAGGCTTTTTCCCACTAGGTTTTTCCTAGTAAGGTTTTAATGAGGCACATTATCTATAAACATCCAAGGGGAAGTGTTACAAATCCAATTAATGGTGTATGTTTCACTTGATCTATTCCTAACGTAATGTATCTATTTATTACATTAATTAAATATTATTCTAACGTATTTTTCAAATGTTGTAAAAGGATGGTTCGAATATCCTATGAAAGGGTAGTCTTTCACCCTTGTGAAACACAATTGAAGAGATTAAAATAAGGCTCTCAACTTTATACTTTCCATCACCATTTGTCTCCCTATATTGTCTAGTATTATTATATTTTGCTGCCTTAGGTAGAGTTACACATTATAATTCTCCTTTTATAGGTCTTAATCAAATTTACAAAAAAAAAATATACATGACACTAAAAAAAAGAATTACACCAAAGGTATTTTTAGTTGGTTGGGAGGTAATATAAACATATGTTTCTATTTCTCTACTCCTTTCTGCTTGAGTGTTGGTATATAAAAATGTTATTTTTACCAAATCAATAGGTAAAGAAGAGATGGGAAAAAGGACAAATATACCCCCGAACTACGTAAATGGTATGTGTATACCCTTCGTTATACTTTAGGGCTATTCATACCCTTACCGTTAATTTTTTAGGTTGTGCATACCCTTAAGGTTAATAGAGGGGCACGCGGCTTCATCTAAACGATTTGCCTAAATTTATTTTAATTTTTGTCCATAAATTAAAAAACCCACCCATGACCCATTTATCTTAAGCAAATTTGGTAAACATCTCTTTCAGTTCTTGGCCTATTTTCACCATTGCTTCAAAGGGCCGACTCTGACGTCGTGTGCGGCTTGAACTCAGGAATCAATGCTACCGCCATCGACGACAAGCATATAATCCTCCCCCCTTCGCCGCGTTTGATTCTCTTAGCTCTTTCTTTGCAGCATACGAAAGCCCCAAGCACATTCACAGCAAAAGTTTTGTTGAAATTCTTCAAGTTTGTGTTAAGATTGACGGGTATTTTTCGTCAGTAGGCCGGCGGTATTGACGAGGATGTTAACCGGCAATTGAAAAGCCAATTCTATGACGAAGAGGGGTTTGACTTGATCTTGGTCGAAGACATTGACTTTGACGGCAGTGGCGCGTGGATAATCGGGGTGAAATTGATAAGGCATATGACGTTGTTGGCTTGAGTAGAGCTGGAGGAATAGTTGATGACGAGTTTAAAGAGAGGCCTAGGTGAAGAACAAAATACCACCCAAAGTATAAAGGAGATTTTACTGTAATTTCATCGACGATCAATTACGATTCGGTTATGAATTTGTTGATGCCTCCTCGTGGATCTCACCGCCATTTGTCACAATTTTGCTCTCGCTTTCACTGCAAAGCACCGCCGCTTCGAAGTGGCAAATTTTTGTGTTAAAGGAAAGTTATGTGACAATGATTTAATTGCTCTTTACATACTTGTGAACTTGATCGATCTCCAAACCAATAGTGTTGAGTATATTATCCAGAACGTGAGCAACATTAGTAGCAATTTGGATTTTTGACATCCAAGTGATTTAGAGGTTAGAGGAGGAGCCTTTGAGATTGCTGAGGAAGAGGGAAAGGTGAAGGAATTTGGATGTGGGTTAGTTAGTAATTGGGTGGATTTCTTTACTTAATCGGGTGGAGTTTAATTTTTGGGTAAAAATTTAATAAATTTCGGGTCGGCTGTTAAGATTGAGACATGTGTACCACCGTTAGGGTCAAGGGTATATATGCTCCAAAATTTAGGCGGCAAGGACACTGATATCCTGAAAGTATAACGAAGGGTATACACATACCATTTACGAAAGTTCGGGGGTATATTTGTCCTTTTTCCCAAAGAGATTGTACATTATAGCAAAAGAAACAAGGTCCAGTAATTTTGCTAATTAAATGCGAAATTAGAAATCAAAGTAAGAAAACCAAGGATTTCTTCCTTTTAGAGAGTTCGCCAAGTAGGATTAAGATATCACTTTAAGAATTTGCGCTTCTTCTTTAGTATAAAATTTATAACTCAAACATGTTTCTTAATACTAATATTTATGTAATTTTAAAAAAAAATTGGTCAATAAAATTGGGTTACACGAGCAAGACGCATGCCCAGAAACTAGTAATAAAATAAAGACAAAAAATAATAACTTTTTTATTAAAAAAATAATATAATATTATGTGGCAGGCGAGTGTATATCACTGCTTAACATAAATCTGGGTATGACTTTTTAAGGGGATATATATTTTACTTTTAAAATGTTCAAGGGGTGATAGGACACCCTTAACGTTGGAGTGTGTAGTTGGGATTTCGGGTATAGACTAAGGGGGTTTTAAATCATTTTCTCTTTAATAATGATGAATTTTTGTCCACGCACACACACGTACGCGCGCGCACACAATTGTTGGGATTAACTGAGTTACATGATTATAGATATCATGGTGATATCAACGGCCTATTTAGTTTCTGTCCAATATGAATTGTTGGGATTAACTGAGTTTATTGCAGGTTATGTTGACAGGGGACTTGCCGTCGATGGCTTATTTTTAAGTCTAAGATATATTAATTGTTTTCTTGATTTCATGGCTGGTATTGCTTATTAGGCTGATAGCGTGTTTATCCAACAAGGGTCGACTCAGGATCAAGTATGACCATAGTTGCAGTTGCATCCCTAAGTGGGGGTGCGTCACATTAAAAAATGTATTTTAATGTCAGACTCTTAATGTTTATCCAACTCTATTCATATTAAAGTCAAAATTGTATATTAAAGTCCAATTAGATTTGATTGTGATTAGAATCTATGTCCATGCAAATCAATATTAGTACACGTTTTAAATGATAACTTTATCCAATATGAAATTATATCTTGAAAGGTATAAAAGTCATTAAATATTTGAAGAATAGTTTGGTTATCAACATTTATATTCATGTTATTAAAATAGATGGATGATCCATGTTATTATGCTTATGGCCTATGCCTATGGACAAGCAAGCAAGAGATACTGCGTTATTTACGCTAGTTTGAAAAAAGCTGTTAGAGGAAAACAAGGGATGCATGAAAAAAGAAAGTTGAATGAGGAAAAACATTGAGACACAATATGCAATGCAAACAATAAACAGAGTTTAATCCCCTTGGCATTCTCCCTTTTTCAGTTTTTCTACTCAATATCTCATTTTTTGGATCTTTCTTACAATACAAAATCTTGATTATTATTGATGTGATCCGAAAATATTGATATAGTCAAATTTTCATTGTTTCTCGTAAACATCAAGAAAATCCCAAATTTATTATTCTTTCCATTCAATTTGAATATGCATTCAATATTGTTATAAAAAGGAATTCAATACAAAAAAATTCAATCTTTGTAGAAATGGGTGGTTGTTTCAGCAAAAACAAATATATAGAGCGAGATGGTAAAGGTAATAGGCCAAGAACAAGAAGAGGGAACACTCCTGCATCATATCAACATTACAAACATCCAGTTTATTATCATCCAAGACCAACCCAAGAGAGGCCTTATATGCCCCAACATCCACAACAACAACAACAAAGACATGCACACCAAGTTACTGTAAAAAGTACTCAACCAAATGTTCCAGTAATACAAAGAATAGAACAAGATCCTATTTTGGGTAAGCCATATGAAAACATTAAAGCACATTACACACTTGGGAGAGAATTGGGTAGGGGTCAATATGGAGTGATTTATCTTTGTACTGAGAATTCTACTAGGCGGAATTATGCTTGCAAGTCTATATTGAAGAGGAAGCTTGTGAATAGGAAAGACAGAGAGGATATTAAGAGGGAGATTCAAATGATGCAGCATTTGAGTGGACAACCAAATATTGTCGAATTCAAAGGTGCTTATGAAGACCAGTATTCGGTGCACCTTGTGATGGAACTTTGTGCTGGAGGGGAATTGTTTGATAGAATTATTGCCAGGGGATATTACTCTGAAAAAGATGCTGCTGATATTATCAGACAGATAGTGAATGTGGTCTATATTTGTCATTTTATGGGTGTTATGCATAGAGATCTCAAACCAGAGAATTTCTTATTGACTAGTAAGGATGAACATACAATGATCAAGGCTACTGATTTTGGGCTTTCTGTTTTCATTGAAGAAGGTGAGATTCTTGACACTCACCGTTTTAATTGAAGATTAAGTTATATACATTGATAGTATAAAGATTATTTTCACTATCAGTCTAGTTTTAGCCAATGATAGTAGCTTAGTTACTACTTTTATCAGATTATCAGTTAATGCTTATCACAAAGATTTACCTATCATTGTCTTATAAGTGATTGGATTGTCCAAAAAAATAAATGTTTCTACAATGCAAGTGCAAAGAACTTAAACTCTTTAGTTATTATTGTTAATGAATCCATTGTGTTTCTCTATCACTAACTTGGATTAGGTGTCTTTTCACATACTTCTTAGCCTTCATTGCTACTAGGTTTTTTCTGTCAATGTATATCAACAAGCTTATTTTTGATCTAGGACACTAACAGTAGGATCTGTGAAATTTTTCTAAACACAAAATTTTGACAGGTGAGGCTTTTAGGTAGTATTTCATGAGAAATTTGACTGAGAGTACCAGATAATCTGAATGCATTTTTTAAAAACCAGGTAATTCTGTGTAATCTGAATGCATTTTTAAAAAACCAGGTAACTCTGTCCACCAAGGCTAGAACACATGAGAAGAAATCTGAACCTGAAACCTCATGGTTCTCAACCCACTTCATTGACCACTATGCCACACCCTTGGATGCGTTAATCTGAATGTATTTCATAACTCATGTTTCACCTGCCAGGTTAAACAATAGTTATGTTACTAAATCCCCAAGTGCTTAGGATAGAACACTTGCCCAATATCATATACTGCAAAATAATATTTCACTGAACATTTTGTAACACCCTAATCAGATGATTCAATGGTGTGAGCAAGACACCTATGCTGTGAAATATGAAAAGTTTCTTCTTCTAGAATTAAGGCATCTTTGTAGCGGTTATGTATTTTGAGGGAAAACGGGAATAGAGGCTTCACTTTTAAGCTGTGAAGAAGCTGATGGAAGACTCGTTTATGGAAATCAATGGCACAGTAGCAGCCTTTTTTCTTTAAATAAAATTTGTCCAACACATAGCTAGAACAAAATTTACTACAACATTTCATGATGTCAACTCACCAAGTTATCCTTGGATGAGTTTGATCTTCATGTGGAAACCTGAATTAGTGGTATTGACTTAATCTATCCTTGTTTCCTGCACCCTGTTTTTTAGGATCTACAGATTTAAATTCATGTTTTATTTATTGATTTCAGGTAAGGTGTACCGCGATATAGTTGGTAGTGCATACTATGTAGCTCCTGAAGTATTGAGGCGCAGTTATGGAAAGGAAGCGGATGTATGGAGTGCAGGTGTTATTTTGTATATTCTGCTTAGTGGTGTACCTCCATTTTGGGATGGTAAGGACAGAGACAATAACATAAAGATACTGTACTGGAGGTTATTTTCTGCGTTCTCTTTTAACATGTCTTGCCAAATCTTTTCAGAAACTGAAAAGGGAATATTCCATGCTATACTACAAGGAGAAATTGACTTTCATAGTGATCCGTGGCCATCCATATCAAATAGTGCCAAGGATCTTGTTCGGAAAATGCTAACACAGGATGCGAAAAGCAGAATCACATCAGCAGAAGTTCTTGGTATCTCTCTCTCTCTTTCTTTTTGTGTAATCATAGGCTACACCATGATCTTCTCATTTTATATAATATTTAATCGCCACAATGTGGTTTTATATAGGCATGGAGAGCAATCGTGGGTATTTTGGTCCATAGCATGAGTGTATGTTATATATTGCCAGAGGAGCACTATTGAGGGGATTAAGTATGTGACATTCTGTAGACAATACTTTACTTTTTATTTACAAAACAATGGATAACAATCTATTAATAATGAAGACGCAGAACTACAATCAAATGCAATTAATAAGGCAATTTTTATGATAGTAGACAAAAATGCCTTGGAATCCAAACTTAAAAACTAAAGAAATAAAAATATTAATGGGTGATGGAAGAGGTGCAAGGCATTGGATGTTTCTATCCCTAATCCAGCCTCTTTGGATTTTCTTTTCAACAGCAACCATCACTATTTTGGTCCATTTCCACCATCTCCTTACCTCTTAGGGTTACTAATCCTCTTACTTTGAGAGTGTAAAATAGACACAAGAGAGCAAAGTTGCTTAATGTATTATTCCAAGAGTGAGCTATTTGTAGGTGTACAAGTAAATCTATCTAAGGAAATAAAATCCCTAAATAACTCTACCTATGATTGTGCTAGGTATACTATATGAAGAAGCATCTATATACATTATGTAACACTCCCCATCAAGTTGGAGTATAAATATTAATCATGCCCAACTTGTTACAAAAATATACCACTCGCATTCCATTTAAAGCCTTCGTGAGTATATCACCCAATTTCTCTCCTGTCTTCACATAGCCAGTAGAAATCATGTTCTCATGAATCTTCTCACGGAAAAAGTGATAATTAACCTCAGTATGTTTCATATGCTCATGATACAATGGGTTTGAGGCAATGTGCAGAACAATCTGATTATCACATCGACAAGGGCTTCAAACCAACCTCAACTAAAAGAGTGATGTATCCATAGTATTTTACATGCATATTGAGTCATAAATAGTAAACTCAAAATTATGCTGGATGAATAATGAAGAATCAGATCAAATTAACCAAGTAATTTTTGAGTTCAGTGTACCAGGCCTAGGCCTTGGGAGCATGTTTGAGGCCATATATAGCTTGTGCAGCTTGCAAACATGCCCAGATGTGTAGAAGCTTCGAAACCAGGTGGTTGGTGCATATAGACTTCCTCATCGAGACAACCTTGCAGGAAGGCATTATCGATATCAAGTTGACGAGGGCCAGCTTTGTTGTGTTGCAATTGCAAGAACGAGTCGAACAGTTGCAGGCTTTACCACAGGACAAAAAGTACATTGAAAATCAAGTAGGTGTACATTAGGAACCATTGGTGTGCCACCATCATCTTTAGTAAGGTGTACATTAGGAACCATTGCTGTGCCACATGGCTTGGCTCCCAACTTTCCAGTTTGAGCAGTAGGTCAAGTACATACTTCCTTTGGGACAAGAGAATCCCTTTCTTGCTTCTTGGGCTTCTACGGCCAAGAAACATTTCATTTGCCCCAAGTCTTTGGTGTGAAACTTGGCATGTAGAAGTTTCTTGAGAGAAGAAATTCCTGCACAGTCATCTCCTGTGATAACAATATCGTCAACATAAACAACTAGAAGAACCAACCGTTGACTGCCTGTAGAAGACTAAGTGATCACACTTGCTCTTTATCAATCCAAATTCCTGAACTACATCGCTAAACTTTCCAAACCAAGCACGAGGTCTCAACAATTTGATCCTCGAAATCAAATATGGAATTGAATATAGCCGAAGTAACAACGGCAAAGAAAATCTGTAAGTGCCAAATAGCCTGAACAACAAGGCAATATCAAACCAAAATAATTCACGTGAAATGAAGCAATACACCAAACACCTGAAGATGCTAGAAGAACAAAGAAAAAGAGACAGCGGTCATTGTGAAAGGTAAACCAGTCACCGGAAACACTGTCAACCAGAGAAAATGTTGCAATCTGTGAATCTAGTTGTCAAAAATTGCTGGAAAACAGTGGGCTTAGGTCAGAATTACCATATTACTCCTACAAAACCAAACACGAATTCAAAGTTGCCTGAAAATTCTTCATGCGCTCGGTGCGTGGAATAACTCGCTGCCGGAGACTCAACTGTCGCCAGCGCGTGGTGAACCAGATGTTGGTGGAGTTTCTTGGGTGCCAGAAATTCTCAAGTCTCGTGGTGGTACTAGTTTTCACACCACACTCATGAGGAAGAAGATGTTGCAATCCAGACATAAAGAAAACCACTGGAGAATAGGCACAGCGACTGTCCCGAAGTCATAGGGATGGTATGGCCAGAATTAATCAGCATTGCTCTGATACAGACACAGGGAAGCAAATCTGCTTATCGTATTATTCCAAGAGTGAGCGATTTGTAGGTGTACAAGTAAATCTATCTAAGGAAATAAAATCATAAAATCCCTAAATATCTCTACCTATGATTGTGCTATATATACTATACAAAGATGCATATATATACATTATGTAACAGAGAGGGAAGGTTACTTACAGATTTTCAGACTATCCTAGGCTGGAGAACTAAACATGGGACTGATCATATAATATCAACTCCCAGATGAAAGTGTAATAAAAGTTTATTCACTTAATTTCCTCCACTATTGCAAACCAAACCATCCTTAAACTTCTCCTTAAATTTTCATGCCTAAGGCTGTCCTATTTGGATGATATGTAGAAACCTGCTGAAAGTTCAGCTAACTTGTAAAGTACATGCCTAATCATCTCATAGTTATCTTTTTCGTTTTTTGGAAAAAACATATCTTCTATTTGGACAGTCCATCAAAGGGACAACGCGAATGGACACTTTGAGGCCAAAGAAAAAAAAAGAATATATTATGGTCTTAATACGACATAAACAAAAGTTTTAGAATTAATACTTCAAGGTTTATTCTCTAACATTAGGTGTAAAGGAACGTACAAGAAATGTCTTGAGTGGTATATGTTTTTTCGTATTTGAGGCATCTTAAATACAATATTAAATACCCTGCGGAATTTTTATTATCGACCATTTTGGGATATATTTTATTTTTCAAGAGCATAGAAATAATAAACTATACAAAGAAAGCAAGCTCTTTAGAATATAAAAGGATAAATATATGTAAATAAATGTTAGTCCTTTTCTTATTCACACGCTGAAAATCACAAAGATAGCAAATGTTAGAGAGCCATTTTCCTTTGAAACCATCTTCCTTTGTTCTAGCATCTCGAAAAATCTCGTTAGCTTTAAATGAATCTTAATATTTGAATGATTCTTTAATTATCACAAATTCCTTGCAATTGAATTTTGGGTTATTTCTTAATTGTAAAATTCTTATTTAAAGGAGATATACATATATGTAAGCGTGTGCATTATACAAATTAGGAAAATGGAGTTTATAATTTAATGAGGAGCTACAGGGTCGACTTTTGACATTAGATGAGTTTGAACTTTAGATGACGTATTTTAGCGGTTACGATGGGTAAAAGTCCCACATTTGTTTGGGAATGGACTGGTGATCTCCTTAAATGGTGCCACTCAAAGAATAAGATTCATTTAAAGCTAATGAGATTTTCCGGGGCACTACAGTCGTTCTACTTGTTTATAGAGTTAAATAATAAAGTATGCTCTAAAGTTTCCAAACAAATCATCAACACTGTCTCTTTTTAATTCATCTTGAACTGAAACTTAAAATAAAATATTTCATAAATATCAACGCTGATCCGTTGTTTGTTGATGAGATTAATTTATTGTGATATCAATTATTAGTTAACAATGTTTTCTTTTTGCCAGATTATGTTTACACAAAAAAATATTTTTTAAATGAACAAATACGTCGGAACGTCCTTTCGTAAATGTTTCTTCATTTACCAAAACTTATAGCAAGATACAGAGTTTCCAACTTTCAAATATTAGGAACTAATTTAAAGAGCAGAATATATAAATGATTCATGTCATCGACCTGACTAGTTTGATATTGAAGCAGAGTTTACAAAGAATTTAAGAATTTATTTGATATTTAAACCAATTGTTGCTGACAGGCAGACAATATTTATTCATGATATGATTATAATATTGGGAGCAAAGTAAGGGAGGAAAATATTCATTACTCAATGTGTTTGAGAGAGTTACTGTTTAGATTAAAGTTAAGTGAAAAAGGCAATGTACACCTTTCTTAAGCTTAGAGTTGTATAGTTGGTGTTCCAGTTTCCTCAAGAGGTTTAAGTAATTGATGCTTAATATTTATCAAGAAAATAGTCTTTGTCTGAACCGCTCTAGTTTCATGTTGATTTCTTTCAATGGAAGTTTCTACAAAGAGTGAAGAGTTTAACATCTATGTGACCAATATGATGATGAAAAGAGAGTGCAAGAGGTTGTTTTGCTACCAGTAGAAGGTGATAGTTTTGTTGTTTATTGACTTATATCTTATGAATAAAAGTGAAAGAAGAATTAGAGACAAAATATTACCTCCATTTATCAAGCAACGTCCAAAGAAAGTTTGTTGTTTGATCTTTGGTTGGCTGCATCTAATACAAAGGCCATATTTGATCGATTCCTCCGTTGGATTTTCAGTTACTTTAAGAACTTTAAGCTTCTGTTGCATCACATATGATGATGACAAGAAAGTGCAAGAGGTTGTTTTGCTACCAGTAGAAGGTGATAGTTTTGTTGTTTATTGACTTATATCTTATGAATAAAAGTGAAAGAAGAATTAGAGACAAAATATTCCCTCCATTTATCAAGCAACGTCCAAAGAAAGTTTGTTGTTTGATCTTTGGTTGGCTGCATCTAATACAAAGGCCATATTTGATCGATTCCTCCGTTGGATTTTCAGTTACTTTAAGAACTTTAAGCTTCTGTTGCATCACATATGATGATGACAAGAAAGTGCAAGAGGTTGTTTTGCCACCAGTCAAAGGTGATAGTTTTGTTGTTTGTCAACGTCTTTCTTATGAATAAAAGTGAAAGAAGAATTAGAGACAAAATATTACCTCAATTTATCAAGTAATGTCCAAAGAAAGCTTGTTGTTTGATCTTTGGTTGGCTGCATCTAATACAAAGGCCATATTTGATCGTTTCCTCTATTTAGATTTTCAGTTACTTTAAGAACTTTAAACTTCTGTTGCATCACATATGATGATGACAAGAAAGTGCAAGAGGTAGTTTTGCCACCAGTCGAAGGTGCTAGTTTTGTTGTTTGTCGATGTCTTTCTTATGAATAAAAGTGAGAGAAGAATTAGAGACAAAATATTACCTCAACTTATCAAGTAATGTCCAAAGAAAACTTGTTGTTTGATCTTTGGTTGGCTGCATCTAATACAAAGGCCATATTTGATCGATTCGTCTATTGGATTTTCAGTTACTTTAAGAACTTTAAGCTTCTGTTGCATCACAAGTAGCCCAAATACTTGTTCCTTCAGATTCTTTTTGATGAATCGAAGTTTCAAAATGTGGAGAAAAGTACACTAGGATGTCTTAAACTTTGTTCAATGTTTTGATGCGTTAGTGAGCATTTCTTGCTCTTTTGATGACTGCTTAGTCTTTTCCATTTTGACTTGTTTCTCAGGTTTCTTAGTCTTTTTGATATATGATTTGGGAGTTGGGGGCTTCATTTGCTTGGAGCTTGTTTAGTATGCTGGAATTAAATTATGCGCCTTTTCTTAATACTCTTTGTGCTTGCTTCTACAGAACATCCATGGCTTCAAAGTGGAGAAGCATCAGACAAGCCAATAGATAGTGCAGTGCTGTCCAGAATGAAGCAGTTCAGGGCAATGAACAAGCTCAAGAAACTAGCACTGAAGGTAGAATCTAACATTGTAGCTATTATTTCTACATGACAAGTGGTTATTGTCTATAGGTTGTCATTACATAGAATGTCTCGTTGACATTCATCATTGTTTCTTCCATTTTCCCTGAAGGTTGTCAAATTTCAACCCCCTGATATTTTATTAATTGGTATCCCAGGTCATTGCAGAAAATTTATCTGAAGAAGAAATTAAAGGTTTGAAAGCTATGTTTGCAAACATGGATACAGACAATAGTGGGACAATCACTTACGAAGAACTAAAATCGGGATTGGCCCGCCTTGGATCAAAGCTTTCAGAGGCTGAAGTTAAGCAACTTATGGAAGCTGTAAGTATGATTCATTTGACTGAATTTATCTGTTTATTGGTCTTCCTGTAAGATTTCTTAGTCCTATGTTTCCTGTTTATGGTTCTATATTTCAGGCTGATGTGGATGGAAATGGAACGATTGACTACATTGAGTTTGTTACTGCAACAATGCATAGACATCGGCTTGAAAGGGATGACGATCTATTCAAAGCTTTTCAGTATTTTGACACAGACCATAGCGGGTAAGTCCACAAAAGCGATCATAATTTCAGTGTTTCAAGCTTTTAGCTAAGTGTAGCTTATACTAAAGCTTGCCAATATGGATCAGCTAGGATAACTTTGGTTGGAGGCTAATGAAAATTAGATTTTAGCCTTGTTTTTATTGAGTGTTTTCATTATGATGAATTGATGGTGACGTTTCCCTACATATGGTTCTTGGGTGTCATCTACATATTACTGACCTCTGACTCGATATTTGACCCTGACCTGAGACCCGACCCAGAGTTGGGTCCCGAAGCCCAACCCTAACCCGAGACTCGGCATCCGAATGTTGCTATGAATTATCCAAATAGACGTCGTGTGGATGCTACGCTTGCTTCAGATAAGACCCGGGATGGTGAAGGGAGTGAAGTTGCTGCCCTAGTGAATCCTTTTATAATTGGTGGGTATGATGACATTTTTGAATGCTACAGGTGATGCCATAATCCTCATTCTTTACTTATCCATATTGAAATGAAGATTGGGGACAAGAGTATAGTGACCTGATTGTTACTGGAGCCATGCACACCTTTGTTTCTGCCAAACTTGTGCATAAGTATGGGTTGACTGTGAGTATTGTTTGTCATACATCAAAACCGTGAATGCCCAAGTCCAAGCCATTGTGGGTATGTCTTATAATATTCTTATTTCTATTTGAAATTGGAATGGGAAGGCTAATTGATGGTGATCCCATTAGAGGACTTTAAGGTGATCCTTGGGATTGATTCGTGTGGAAAAATTGGTTTGTTCCAATGCCTCAGTTTGATGGTTTAATGACTATGCATGAAATGGCACCTAGTTTTAATTAATGTTAACAATCCATATGGGGAAGAGAAAAAGAAAGAGAAAGGTACTATCATTTCTTCCATGACTATTGAAAAAGGTTGGGAAAGGGTAGGTGAGACTTCCCTTGCTGCCTTGGTCGAGAATCGAGATTAAACATGATGTCATAGTTGAAGTGCGGGGGTGTGTTGCGCAAGTGTTAAGTGAATTTGCCGATGTGATGCCGCCTAAATTGCCTAAGAACTTGCCACCGCGGAGGACAACTGATCACAAGATAGAGTTGTTGTATGGTTCAATGCCCCCTGCACAACCACCTTATTGCATTGCTCCAAAAGAGTTGGCTGAACTGCGGAAATTGAACAATTTACTGGATACTGGAATTATTCATCCATCAAAAGCTCCAAAAAAAAAAACAGGATGGGACGCTTCAGATCTACAGGTAGTACGATAATCAACCAAGGTACCCGCCACAACAATCGAGCCTGGGAGGTCGTTTGACCTTGTGCCTCCTTAGTTCATTCCGCACCATGCCTGCATCCTAGAAATAAAGTTGTGCAATTTATCCTCATCCGACATGTTCTGAATGTACAACATCAAAGAAGAAAATTCCTTGATATAGTCGCGAACTAAACCCACTGCCTTAGGCATTTCAAACTATCCCTAGCAATCCACTATGCATTGCAAGAATTAGTCTCTCATCTCCTTATGCATCTTTACCCAAGTATCAATTTTGGGCCTACCAACACTTTCATCATCTGCATTCCGAGTTCTCCAACACAATTTCGCATCACCAGAAAGATACATGGTGGTGATTTGACATAATAAATATATATGCCCTTTAACTTGGCTTCAGTTGACACCTATGCCCTCCAACTTTGAGTGTGCACAAGTAGGTACTTAAACTTGTGTAAAATTGAACAAATAGACACATTCGTCCTACATGGCAATTTTGTGTCCTATGTGGCGTGTATTATGGCATGTAGGACGTCTGTGTCTACTTGTTCAATTTTATACAAGTTTAACTGTTTAAGTGTCTAGTTGTGCACACTCAATGTTGCAGGGCATAGAAGCCAGCTGAAACCAAGTTAAAGGGCTTATTTATGTATTATGCCGTGGTGATTTTATTTGTCATTTCAAGAACCCCAGCAGTAGAAATATTGTTCCATATCTCACAAGAAGTTTTCCAATTCTTTAGCACTACGCGCTCCCAAATGCTTTAGGTTGTGGGATCTTAACCTTTGAACATTCATTACTTCCACGGCCAGTAGTAGCCATAGCCCTTCGAAGAACGACAAGTTCAAGGTTAAGATTTTCGTTCTCTTTCTTAAAATTTTCAATCTGAACATCAACAGCCTCACAGGATTGTTGAACATCCCTCGTTTGTCCAGAAACAGTCTCATGAAACCATTCTAGATCTCCCCTCAAACGATGGATTTGGGTTACTATGTCCACCATATCCACGCATCATCAGTCACACCAACGAGTGTCTCCAACTTTGACAATCGTTCGCGTAGTTCTGCATTTGGGTTTCCTTCCAGCATAGACCAAAGCACGAACTCTCGCTTTGATACCAGTTGTTACAGGGTCAATTTTTTGCAATCACCAGTGCACGACATTCAGCATACACAACAACTCATCCTTACACTTCTCTCTTTTGTTAGCTGGGACTTAGGATTATTTTCAGAACTTAGTAAACAAAGCGCACACAGAATTATAGGTATAATCACCCCACCTTTTATCACTCTCTTAGAATATATGAAGGATCTCGAGTTGCACGACTTACAACATAATCTGCCTTACCCAATAACAACACATACGGGTCTGCCAGTGGTAGTTAGAAGGGCCAGAGGTGTGCCTGGCACATGCCAAGACTGCACAAAACAAGTAAAACACTAGGACATGATCTGAAGCTACATCCCATGAACAGAATAGCCTTCAGCCTTTTAGCACAACGGTCAAATGTGCCTTGCACACAGCACAACTGCTTTGTCCACCAGGAACAAGTACCAGGTAACTTTGTCCACCAAGGCTTAGACAGATGAAAAGAAATCACCTAGTGTTTTTGTCTCGTTGGGATCTGAACCTGAGAGCTCTTGGTTCTCAACCCACTTTATTAACCACTAGGACACACCCTTAGATGCACTTCTTCAACACATGTTGATGACAATGCCACACCCTTACCAATAGACCTTGCCTCATACACGTCTGGCACATGACAATGCACATACCACACCCATGTCGTCCCACTGATCTGCGTGCATGCCTTAGCTAATTACATGCGCCTGTCCTTGCCTTTGCATATGCCCAAACTCAAGGCTGCCTTGCCATCTCCAAGGCACCTTTCATCTTGCCTAAGTGTCATCTGGTACACTTAGACACACAATGCCTAAGGTCGGAGGGCTTTTTCTAGTACTAAATAGGGTCAAGTTAGATGATATGCTTCATGAGTAACAAGTTAATCCTGCTTAAGAAATCCTTAATCTACGGATTTGGTAGGATCTGTCTCAGGCATTATGTTTTCACAGATCACTCCCCTTGAGAAGTTCACCTCTTTATTTTTGTTAATATGATTCAGCTTCATAACAAAAGACGAACTGGAAAGTGCTATGAAGGAGTATGGTATGGGCGATGAGGACACCATCAGGGAAATTATAGTAGAGGTGGACACAGACCATGTAAGTACTTTCTGATGCAATGTTTTAACATTTGTAACTCTGTTATGATACTAGATTTTATCTATACTCTTTCACTTAAACAGGACGGCAGGATCAATTATGAGGAGTTCTGTGCGATGATGAGGAGCGGAACACAGCCCCAAGATAAACTTTTTTAGTTCCTTGAAACAGTAACCTTGCAAGCAGAGCTGTTCAGCAGCCAGCACGATGTAGAGAGCTGGGCTGCGAGAAGAGAAGATTCAGAAAAAGCGGAAGAGGTATTCTTGATGTACTTGTTATACCTGGTATCTCCAATCTATTTTTATTTGCTTTGACTACTTTGGAAAGCAGTTGGAGTACAGGAAGCATTTTGGTGTACATCAAATTTAAAGCGGAATAGCTAGTAAAATTCATATATTTATAATTTATATTCATTCCGCCCCAAAAAGAATGCAGTATTACTTTTTTGAGAAATCAGACTGTTTTCTTTGATTATGATTTTTTCAACTAATTTTAATATTTTTAACAAAAAGAAAGTTTGATTTATAGTACTTAAGAAATCAATATCTGAATATACAATGAGAGTTAAATTTGCCGATCTTGAACACTGTATCGTGCTTTCATTTTTTTGTCATAGAGGGACTGGTTTCTTTGTCATGCACAGTTCTAATTTATTTGATATTCAAAGGAAACACATTTAACCTTATTATTTTGATTATAATAAAAATAAAGAACCTCATATCTTTAATGTTTCTGAAGCTGCTCAAGGTCCTGGAAATTTAAAATGAACATGTGAAGGGGATGAAAAGTGTATGTCGACCAACGAACTTAATTATTGTAAGTAGATTAGCTTAGTTATTCAACTTCTGTATAGTTGACTAGTTTGCATTCAGCATACCATTCTATTTCTGTTGTCAACCATGGAATGGGTGCTTTTCATAGCCACTATACCAAATAACCAGTTATTTTGTAAACTGCTTCTGTTAAGCCTTTTACTGAACCTAAAACTACTGATGTTCACAGAAGCAACAACTCCTGAACGCCCAAAAGGAGAAAGTAAAAAGTACTTTTGCTAGCTTTACCTTATTCTTTTCCTCATTGCATCAACCCTCGGTAAGTTGAAATGAGAAGAAATAATATCAGCATGCATTTTCATTCTAAACTTTTTTCGACTTCTGTTTGAGAAATGATTATCCATTTTAAGATCAAAACTTCTAAGGTGGTCAAAAGATTAAAGGGGATGTTTAGGTGATCAAAGAGTTAGAGTAACAACTCATAAAAGCATAGATTGAAGCCTTTTGTGTCAGCTCAAGATATAGACGGATGGGTTGATGACCTTTCTGAATATTTGGTGTTCTGGTCTTATGACGTTATCAACCTATAAATGACTTATGAGTGTATTGGTGCATATTTGTATGCCTCTTGAACTTAGAACTTGCTCAATAGATACATATTTTGTGCCCTTATAATGTCATCTCTCAATTCTTGGAAGGAAAATTCCAGATTGCAATGAATTCATAGTGCACAAGTTCCATTACATTCCATGAACGAGATGTCCTTTTATCTAGCACCTGTCTAATGGTGTCTTTGCCTCTTAATTGTATTGATTAAGTATTGATAATGTCAGATGATTTCAACTTGCCTATGTCCTCTACTGCATTAGTCCTCTACTTGTAATAGCAGTCAAGGTCATAATCTAACAATTGAGGAAATGGGAATGGAGGGTCATAATCCAATATAAAGTTGATGGAATCTGCTTTGTATCTTTATGATAAAGAGAGAGAGAACAAACACATTTTTATATCATGGCCCATCTCCAACATAAAACTTACAGCCTAAAAAGTAGCAGCTGTTGAGAAACTTACAAAAGCAACTGGGAATGTAATGAACATGGTCACTACTACTTCCATAAACTATCTTAAACTCGTCATACTTGCATTTAAAACAAACACCAACTGGGAAACACCACCTTATTTCTATATTATCCCTGTCCTCTCCTCACATACAGAAATGGAAACGGAGGGTACAAGTAGTAGCAAAGCAAGTTCCTAGTGCTTGTTGGCAAGATAACACTGCTTTCTGATCTCACCCTTTGTTGTTCTCAGAGAGAACAGTGATGGCTCTTGCAAATTCCTTGAAGAAGTAGTCTTGGCTCTTTGCCATTTTTTTTACATAGAGTCTGGTCCTTTTATCTACAGCTAGTTGTTGGTCCACCAACATCAATTCCTTGTTGTCCAATATGTTCCTGTAGTAGTTGTTGCCTAGCTTCATGGGTGTGCCTCTGTCATTTCTCACATACTGCATGGCCTTTGTGTCGGGGATTGATTATGGGCATTTCTTTAGAATGTGGGGTATGTGTTCAGGGTTGAGTTGAGGGTCCACTTTGGGATATAAACGCTGAACCAACTTAATACACTGTGGGAAGAACACAACACACTGTGAGAACTTGCAAGAGAGATGAGAGATAATTAACTTAGATCTTTTTTTCTCTCGTCTCCTAATAATACGGAGTAGGGTTTTGCATGTTCAAGCCATGAAGAAAAACATCTATCAGAAATGCAAGATAAGGCTGCATATAATCAGTGTGGTTTGGCTCTTCCCATGACCTCATGCATAGAGTTTAGTGCACCAAACTGTCCTTATCCTTTTTTGCTAATAATTGATCCAAGAAATTCAAGGTATTGTGGGATGTGTATAGTGTATACCTAGCAAGGCAACAGCTCCAGGAGTGTTAATTCCAATATTGGCAAATCTCTCAAGCACAACACTAATGCTTTCATTGTGGCTTGGGAGGTGTTGCTCAAGAATATCTGCTCTGCTCCTCCTGCCATCCCTCCTTCCAGTTTTGAGTGGGATGTAAGGCCCTCCTAACTGTGCACAACACCATTAATAAGATCGCATTCATGTGAACCCACTAACTCAAGATCTTGAATTCGCCTCTGATATTGACAGTAGGTAACACTATGGAAAAAAAAATAACAATATTAAGTTACAGCAACAATGCCATCTCTACCAGACAAGACGATAATATCAGTACAGGAAACAACATCATCGCATTCCCTTTCTTCAGCTTCCTTAATTGTGTCAATGTAATATGTATCTGAAGTTTCTCATGCCAAAGCTCCTGTCTGTCTCCTTCTCAGACAGCATCTCCCTGGTTGAGTCCAGCAGCAATGAAGCATCACATGACTGCACCCACAAAACAATAAAAAATGCCACCATCTTAAACTTAAAATGTTCATCAAAATGGAGAAAAGAGTGTGAGAGAGATTGTTTGTACCTCAACAAAGCAGTCATGGAAGACGTTCCGTAGCCAAGAAAATGCATTGTTCTGTTGTTGTTTGTAGAGAAGGTTGACTTGCTCTTTGATATTCTCTTCAGCTTGTGGGCATGTGCGTTTGTAATAGTCCATAACAAGGCCAGGATTATCATCCTCCTTCTCCTCTGCAAATGCAGAGAGAGCTGAAAATAACAGCACACCAAAGAAGAGAGCTTTGGAAGTCATTGTTTTTACCATTGCACTCAGCTGTGAGAGATAAAGATCCTTGATCCCCAACTACTTCTTAAATAAGCATAAAAACTGAAGGACACTGCCAAAAAAAGAGTAGACATTATTTTCTTTCCCTTTCTTCTCAGGGCTCGTTTGAACATGATTTCAAGTCATAATTTAAAATTACTCATCTGAAACCATGTTAATTTGAACTTAAAATTTTTGTTTGAACATGAAATTTGAACTTTCTTTTTTATATAAAATTTAAATTTAGAAAACAATCAAATATGTCATCGAATTATCAGAATGCCTCAATCATGTCTTTTGTTAATAGTTGGAGTTATTTATGCCATCGCATGACACATTTGGTTCATTTGTGCTAACAAAGCCCTACTAGTACCAGATTATGTCACGTGGTATTATCTAAATCCTTCATTACTAATCAACCCCAACCCCTCGCACCCCTTTTTTACGAGTGACATATGTAAAGCATTTCATTAAGTTCAGTAATATATTTTAGTCATTTCTTAATCTCTTACAATATAATGGGCCATAGGCAACAACAATACATATATAAGAAATTATCAATGGACAGTTCGATCGGTTATTTTTAAAAAATTATATTATTTCAATTTTTCGGGTATTTTATAATGTATAATCAAAATTGGATTTTTCTTAAGGTCATCTCAATCGTATCAATTTCTCTTTTTAGTATCGGTACGATTTGGTTAATTTTCGGATTTTTTTACTTTTAAAGTTTCACCTCAAAATACACCATTATTAAAGTATTTCTTCACAAGTGTATTCTTGAAGAAACACTTCAATTCTTCACCAAGAAGCGAATAATATAAAACCTTGTTGCTATTGTTTGATCTTAAGCTTTTAATAGGAACGTTTGCATAGATTTTTTTGTATTGTTTGATTGAGTATCTATTATAGTATCTTTTAATTTAAACCTAATTAATTAAAAGCTAACTAAAAAGCAAAGGTCCACCAACATGGATTGTGGTGCAGTGGTGAAACTGCTTCACCCTTAACTAGAGGTCTCGGGTTTGATCCCTGGGTATGGAGAAAATCCTATTGGGAGTATCACCTTCGAATGGGCCCTACAGTGCACGATCTGGATTTAGTCGGGGCTCCAATGTGGGCTCCGGACACCGAGTGGGAAACAAAAAAAAGGGAAAAATTATGCGATATGACAAACATCTAGTGTATATTATGTAATCTAGCTATAGTTTCGATTATTTTTAATTTGAGGCTACCCTAGCTATTTGTATACAATTTATGAAAAATTCATAATAAATTATTATGTTTGTATATTGGCAAGCAAAATATACAAACGGAAAATTTCTAAATGTATAAATACAGAATTTGTATGTACTTACTATGTTTGTATATATATTCGCAAGTGAAATATACAAATCGCAATCTCCATTGTAAATACTTATCCGGTTTGTATATTTGCAAGCGAAATATACAAACGGACAAGCTAAATATACAAACCGTAGCCTCCATAGCAAACAAAACTATAGCTATGAAGCGCAATTACCGAAACTATAGTTATAGAGCCTTATATGTCTATTATCTTTGCTATTTCTGAAATTTTCTCTAAGAAAAAAAAAAAGCAAACACCCAAAGTCGTCGAGTCACCAAAGGCCTAGGGAATGAGATATTGAAGCAAAGATGGATGGCATAGATGAGCATTTTCTTTAACATCAATGACATAGATGAGCCAAACTTTTAACGGATGACATAAATGAGTCTTTTCTAAAAGTTCGATGGCATATTTGAGTATCTTCCCTTATTATAATAATATGAGTAGCATATATTTATTTTTAGGGGAGAATTGATTTTACAGGTTACTTACAAATTATGATTTTTAGTTTTATGTCTTTTTTACAAGATATTTCAATATCTCTCTTATAAATCTATTTGTTTATTATTATTTGAGTTTCTTATTTCATTTTTTCTTTCATTATTTAATATAAAAATATGAGAAATAGGAAAAATGAAGTGTGAATGAAAAAAAGAAAAAAAAGTAAGATTTTTTTTGTGGCTATATTGTTATTTATATTTGTATCGGTAAAAAAATAAATTTTATTAGAAAATGAGTGAAAAATAAATTTGATCATCAAAAGAATACACCTAAATTAGTCGTTGAATTGAAGAAGTTAAAAAGATTCACTTGCGAGAAAGATCAAATACACTCATACACGGTTTTTTAAAAATAATAATTTAAAATTATTATTTTTTCACTTCCGTTAAACCATAAGGATATATATGGATATGGTGAAAATTAGTCATTTATGTATTAATATGGATAGATATGAGCCACTTTTTTTAAGAGATATATCAATTCTAAATCGTAAAGTTGAGGATATATCAGGTCCTTTTCTCTAAATTTACTTTTAGTTTTAAAGTACTTTTTATAAGAAATTTTTATTTTTACATATAAGAATGATGTTGATCCAATCTCTTCCTTCAAGAAATAAATAACGTTCTCAAATCATTAGTAGATATAAACAATATATTGAAATAAAATATAGAGTATACAGTAAAAGTTTACATATTCATATGTGTCTACATCAAATTAATAAATATATAACATGTGTTTATATATAAAATAGTATATAATTATAATTAATTATTTATTATTTATTATTTAATTACTTAATTATACTTTCTTCCTTTCCATTTGGGTGGCACAGTTGAACCTAATGATCCAATGGATCTACAGATCCAGTTAAATACATATTTTTTTTATTATTACAAAATAGAAATCATTAGTTCCCTTTTTACGGCTTAGATTCTGATCTACTTTAAATTAAATTTAATTAAATTATATAGCTACTTGAATAAAACTAGTTACTCACTTTAGGAAACACATTCAGTTACTAACTACTCTCTTAATTTTCCAATTTTAAAATATGGGCAGTTAGATGAATTAATAAAATA